ATTTTGGCACCCCCTCACCCTCTTTGCCTGCCTCAACCTGCCTCGCTGCAGGGCTGTCCTTGTGTGGCACTGCTTCTGTTCCACACACACACACACACACACACACACACACACACACACACACACACACACGCAAAGCACTTTATCCCCTTATCAGAAAAGGAAGGCTTCGCTCTTTGCTCAAACAGTCTCATGTAGCAACTTCCGTTGTGAGCAGCTTGTGTTAGGCCTACGAGGGGGATTTTCACAGTGCTGATGTCCCCAGAGACAGGCTGATGCATCTGCCTCAGGGACCAGACGGTCCCCCAGCTGTGGCCGTAGAGGATGATAAAAGCATGCCACAACTTTTGTTGACGTCCCCCTGAAAGCCTAAATAATGTTTCCGCAAAAAAAAAAACGAAAAAAAACAAAACTAAAAGCGCTGCTGTGTTTATGATAGACACTTTAGCTCACACTTATATCCAGAGATACAGTTTGTCATTATCATGAAGTGAGCGCACAGAGTTGTAAAACTTTACGCATTTATTCATAAGGACGTACGGGAGCGTTATGTAAATGAGTTTAAAGCAGTGTAATGTCTGAGTGTGGCAAGCATCGACTCATTTAGGCTCAGACGAGACAGCCACAATCACCAGCCAAGGGTAAAACCCACATCCTTCAGGGTCAGCCTCAAAACAAGAACTTTGATTTGCCCCACTGTAAATACCCAATGGTGTGATTGGTGGCCTTGGGAAGCACAGAGCCAAATGCACTGCTGCAGAAAAGTGTTTTGGGCTGTGCTCATAATAGAACGAAAAGGGAAGTAAACGAAAAGGGTGGCAGAAAGAAGCAGGGTGGGAACGTGACGGGGGGGGTTCAGGTCCACTAGAGAGGAGGAAGAGGAAGACAGGTGTACAAGGTTTTGCTCAACACATGTTGAAACGTCCCCAGTGTCTGTTGAGGGCAAACGGAAGTTTGCTCGCAGGCAAGTAGGCCCCACTGCAACATGTGTTCAACTGTCACCCCGCTACACTGTCGAGTTTCAGAAGTTAGATAAGGATGCAGCTTGTTTTCATATCTTTTCAAGACTTTAGTTTCAGTGCGCTAGCACAAAAAACAAGGGCTTCCCTGACCTAAAACTTGTGGTATTATTAAAATGATTCATTAATGCAACAAAAAAAGCTCACCCAGCTGCCATTTTGTGTACTTTGCGCTGGACTCGGGAGTGCTCCTTACACTACCCAAACATTGTTTTTTTATGCAATTCAATACCATGCATACATAGACAGTCCAGACATAGTTTTCACTGTGATACATGCACTCCACATTAATTCTTGTCTGTTATCAGGGGCCTATCAAGTCCATTTATACGACGAAAACAAATATTTACACTTCAAATATATTCAGTGCAGAGCTGGGTCACAGCCAAAGCACGTATTGGCCTTTGCTGTTCAGATAGAGTTTCACTTTGTCCCTGAAAAAGAACCCAGCCCTTAACTAAAAAGGGCTTGTGTTTAATGTGTCTCCCTTTGGACGGCAACATATGTTTCTTTCTTTTAAAGGAGGCAGAGACAGACAGACAGACAGAAAACGAGAGGAGAAGTAGAGAAAAGTGCGAGGGTGAAGGAAGGAAACAGGTCGCACTGGGTGATCGTTCAGCTGTGGCATCGTGTTAAAGTCCTGGCAGTCACCTCGCTGAGCAAACACTGCCTCCCTGTTGAGCTGATACGGGTTTTGTGGAGGGAAGGCTGGGCAACGCTCGGTGGAGATTGTTCGTGCGGTCTGGTCTTCGAAACGCCCACGTGCAGTGTGAGGAAGAACATAACTTTACACTTTTCGCACGATTTACACCTGAACTTACCTCAAAATGCTTCAAAGCACAGACACAAAAGAGCAAAGCAATGCTGCAGTGAAGATAAAACACTATCAGGAAATAAAAGCACACACACACACACATACACACGCGAAACAAAGCAGGGCTGGGAACGGCACACCCATCTCTTCAAAACACAGCCATCGCCTTTCACTACATTGTTAATACCAGACATTTTATATCAAGCATTTTATTTGTTCTTCATAGACTTCCATAATGCTTTCAGATGATGCGACCACTACTCTGAGAGGAGGCTAGTAAATCTACAACCTTTAGCATCCATTTTCAGCTCTGGATGCATATTGAGCGCTGCTGTTTAGGCCTCATGTGTGCATTGCCTCCCATCTCCCAGCTCTATCTTGTGGTTATGATATCATAGAGAGAAAAACAAAGGCATTCTTTCCTAAGTGCACACTAACACATTAAATATTCATCTGACCACAGAAACCCCTCTGAAATGGGGCTGGTGTGGAGCACCGGCACCCCTCTGGCCCTCCAAGCCCTGCAGAGTAGAAGTCAAATGTTGGCGGTTGGACTTGACACAAAGCAGTTATAGCCGGGGTCAGCTGGCCAAAGAGACTCTTATGCGGATCATTTAGACAGCTATTAAAACTTTTCTACAGGGAGCAACAGTTTTCTTTTTAAGACACTTGCCATGTGCAGAAATGGCAAAATTCCTGCTTCAAGCTACACGGGCAGTCCGAAGCTCATGCCCTACCACCTCTGATCACAATTTCCCAGTAAGGCTTACAGGCTCACACAGACAAAAGGGACGAGGAGTAAAACTGAGAGGAGGTGCCGAAAGCTTCAAGCCACCTCCCAGTCGACGTGCAATGTTTAGAGCAACTGCAAGGCCAGGGTTAATGAGCTCCAGGTCTTGTTCTAATGATGCCACCGCTTGCTCACTCCTTCCAAACATCGCCCTCTCACAAGCCACTAAACCCCCTGCTGGAAGCTGCGAACAGTGTGTCGCTAAAGCATCCCTGCCAACTGGAACTGGGCCACGGGATCCACAGCTCAAGTGTGTTCATGTGCATGTTTGTGGGTAACTGAATGATCACTTTCATCCCTAAAGACTCAGCCAATTCATCTCAGACCACCAGTGGCCACAGAAAAACTGACCAATTATCATTTTTTTCCCCCGTGCTGCCTGTCTTTTTTTCCAACCAGAGAGCAGTGGGATGTATCATTTCCCCGACCTCAGCCGTTTGAGGTGGTGTAAATCTCTTAATAACTACACAAGGACACATATAGGGGCTATATTTGGAGGACTGCTTCCCCTGGCCGCCCCTGCTCTGGCTTGGAACAGACAGTAGCCACAGTGTCTATGTGGGTTATGGAGCCTGTACCAGGCGCTGTGTGTGTGTGTGTGCAGAGAGAGAGAAATATTCTGGCTTCTACCTTCCATCAAAGTTTAAAAAGAAGGCCACATGTGAATAAAAATGATATTACAGAGCGTGCAAGAGCGTACGAGTCTATCCGGGATTTGTTCTGAGTAACAGCACAGAGCAAAGTGGCAGGCCAGAGGGTGGACTCAGTCACACACACTCACACAAACAGCTGCAGAGCAGCAACACGACTCCTGTCTCTGCTCCTACAGATTAGTCATGACTGACTCTTTTTCTTCTCACACATTTAAAGTTTCATCCAACTCCTAATGAGTGAATGAAGAGCGACAATTTTGATTTGAGTGCCTGCTTGTGTTCACATTATGTCGGAACATCACCCCTCCGTGTATGTGGCTGCCTGCGTGTGCGTACGGGGAGGGGGCTTCAAAGCTTGATATTTCTATATAGTTTGTAAAGAGAGGCCGGAAGCGAGGCGGTGGGCACAAACAAATGGACAGAGCGGTAAACGAGAGGAAACTTTACCCATGGGTCAGCCTCGGAGGGAAGATATATTGCCCATGGGTCAGTGCAGAGAAAGGACGGGCAAAATCCATATTGGTCCGTCTGCCTTGCCCCCTTTATATAGTGATAAAATATTCAAATCCAGCCATTACTTCACATTAGGCCACTCTGTAGAGATGCCAGGGAGAAAACCACAGAATGTATACATGCCGGTTCACACACAGTTTTGGTGCATTGATAGTTACATTAAAATGTCTTCCTCCCATTAGAGGCACAGCCCTCATCCGCACTCACGTCTGACATTTAAGGTGTGTTCACATGTGTATTTGTACATGAGTGCGTCTGCATAAAAGGCATGATCAGAGGTTTTTTCTCATCTCATCGTTTCCCTGAACAGGGCATCAAAGTGATATGGGGGCTAAGTGTGTGCGGGTTAGGTACTCGGTTGGATTAAAGAAGCGCTGCTTCGCTTCTTAGAGTTAAGTCTCACCTCCTGCACACAGACACGCGCTAAAGTCTCTTTCTCTTTCCCTTCTCTTCGTTATGTTTAACAGCGATGACTGTATGGTCTGCTAACCTCGTCTGGGTGTTTCCTTCTGACTAAGTGCTGTGTCAGTCAGACCTGAATTTGCGTGGGTGTGGGTGTGAGAGACGAGTGGTTATTGGGGATAGATGCACTCACTTTTTTTCTTTTCTTTTAATCTTGTTAAAAAGACCAACAAAAGCACTTTTGTCCACAGAGGAGTGCAGCAGTTGGTAGTGTGTTGTTTCTTAGACTTTAGGTTCAGGGAAACAAAATTCCTCCAGTAATTATTTTTGACCACTTACGCTATCGTTATCTGCGGATGACGTGGCAGCAGGTGCAGCTTGTATAACATTTAGTGTCTAGCCAATGTATTTCAAGGTCTGCTGACATTCTAATAATATTTTTGTATGTGGAAGCTGAAAACACGGTGACGGTCTCTTGCTCTCTCTCTCT